AGTAGCACCCATAGCAATGTCGTGGAAGGATGCACATCTTTGAGACATTTTTCTGCCTGTAATATAGCTAATAGACAATTTCAGAGTAAAATGGGGATGGGGGGCAAGGCCAGGGGACAAAAAATGTAAATAGTGATAACACAGGTAGGGATTTATTCACGACATTGTGCTGAAATTTATGATTTGATAACTACTACTTAGAAAAACCAGGAGAAAAACAACTTCCTGATCAATTGGGCCATGGGAGACTTGTATTTTACTGCCTGCTCAGCCAAACCTACATGGGTGTCGGCAGTTTTTGAGAGATGAGGTCTATTTTGGTTTCTCAGGTTGCAGTTTGATATATCAATATGAAACTGTGAAGTGTGAAAATTACAGTAACATTGATGTAAGTGACACAGCTCGGTGTATTTCAAACCACACACAATTTTCACGGTCTGTCCCCTTTTTCTGGGTGCACACTAGGTTGGTTAAGGGCCCTTTATTCACACCTGCTCATGCATAAACATGTTACATTAGATATTAAAATAATATTTAGGAAACTACTAGGATTGTTCAGGCTAATAATGATCGTGAATGAAAAATAATGAAGAGCTTCAAAGTTCATATCTTTTCCCTGTCTTGAATAACAGATCGTCATTATTGCATGAATTTGCAAACGAACGAGTGCCACTGGCACAATAAAACATCTTAAGACAGACTTGTAAGGCCATACCCAAAAATATTCTGGTTCTTAGACAGTTGTGCCAAAAAATCTTATGAGAGGAAAGTTTTAAATAATGTCTTACAGTTTCAAATATGAGCTAGTCAAGATTTACCAAGATCTAAAAGGTTAAGCCAATGAATACAAGTCACTACATTCCGATAACAACAAGTCTATTTATGATTGTCCAGTTGTATTTGTATTTATGATTATCAGCAACATTTATGAAAGTTGCATACTTGATAATTGAGTCCAATTTCAATCGGAAACATTTAATAGAGCTACTTTCCTTTACTGGGGGAAATATGAAGTGCAGCAATCAGTGAGGATGTTTTTTATATTTTTTTCAAGTGATGTGACAGAATATTTTTTATATATGGCCTGATGCTCAAGTAACAGTGTAATAAATAGAAAGCTTGTTATTGTTATACAAGATAGTGCATAAAAATCAATGACATGTATTTGAACTGTGTAAAAAGCCTTAATGGAGTGAAGAGCCTGCAGGACACAGTAAACAAGCAGTAAATCAGTTATAGTTATAGGAAATTAACTAAAGTCTTAATCCCCCTTTGACATGTATATTGATCAACGGTCCTTAATGCTGCTCTGTTGGTCATTGTTTGGTCATTGTGATGCTCAATACAATCTAATTACTCCTAGATAAACAGGTGACATACTTGTCTTTTGTCTTTACGACAGATTTACGACACAACAAGTTAGTTAGTGTTAAAACACTGCATTCAGAAAACACTTTGATTTGGATACTGAGCTAGTTTTAGTGACATTGGACAAGGAGTATTCACCTGTAGTTGCTGTTATATAAGCATAGGAAAAATTTCAGTATGTTTGTGTGGAGCATTTTTGCCAAGGCAGTGGATATTTTTATCTTCAGTGAAGTCTTCTAATTGATATATGGTAGGATACTGATAAAAAAGCTTTACCAGCAAGATATAGTTTTTGATTTTTAAGCTATATGTTGCACTGAAAATCATGTACATTTGATAGTTTCATTTACATAATGTTGTTTGGTGGTTATAAAATGTCCACTTAATTTATGTTTGAATATACACGGACATAAAATTGATTCTGTACATAGTTTGTTGTGTACAATGTTTCATGTCTCACACATGCTGCAAGTTGTTTGTGGCCGTCAGTTGTCGCAAAAGGCTGTGTCACATCTCACAACATTGCGTTACTCATAGGAATAATATAAATATTTATATACATGTATTTCTTTGGCATTACTATTGTCACCTTGACCGAGACGCAGATTTTGTCAAAATTTTGAACATTTTCAAAAAACGACACAGCTTTTGTGACACTTGCAGTACCTTTACATCAGCCAACTACCGACACACGCCTTGGCCTACCCTGTTCTCACACAGCACACACTAACCCCATCAAATATCTACGCTAGGTGTTGCGCAGAATAATGACACACTCACTGATTTGGGTAAAAATTATATCTATTGCCCACTTCCACCCATGACTCCCATGTTATTTGGTATGATTTGTATTATGACTAATAGGTAAAAGTAAATAATACTGATATAATAAATGAAGATGTGACATTAATCAATGAAAGTTGAAGGTTATTATTATGGATGATGTGTGATTTGTCAACACTTGAATTAGTAAATGTACCTATGATTCACTCAAGATTGGCACTTCAATTATCAATGCCAACATGTCAATTTGAAAGTAGGGATCCATATGCAGGGGTCTTTTTTTAGTCTGAAGGAGATGGTCCACCTATTTCTTCATGTTTAAAATACCTAAATAAATAACGGTAACAGTTACTATAATCAACTTTCAAAACCTCTGTAGACACCTCTGCCCAAATGTTGCACTAAATAAAAGCAGTCTTGCTAATCACTGAAGAGCAGTTTTTTGTCAATAGTGTCCAAAGTATTGCAATAAGTGACCAACAAGGAAAGATATATTATAGATATATATATTTTATATATCCAAAATTTAATTGATTTCATTAAAAAGTGACAAAATTATGGAAAAGTGAAACATTGGAAAAGCAGAGTAATATCAATTGATTCAGCATACATTTCTTAGTGCAATAAAGATGATTTGAAGAAATTGCTGTGGGAACCAGGACTAGTAAGTTTCTGATTTTAAATGGTAGAAAGAAAGACAAGTAACAATTAATTAGGACACAAATAAACAAATTTAAATGATTTACTCTTCTAATATTGGATGACATCACTTACATGAGGAACTTGTTGAAACATAGTGTGAAATAAACCCAGTGATTGTTTTCCATATAAATTTGTGTTTTATATCATGTTCAATTACTAAATACTGTATTAGGAGTTCTTTAACTAAGGGTAACACCTGAAATACTTGCAGTGTAATCATGAGGCTATTTTTAATGTCAACACAAGTAATTATAGCTAACAGTGCTAGCACAATTTAAATTAAATTAAAAGTCTATGGAAGATCAAATGAAACAATATTAATGATTTTTGTTTCTACATTGCAGTTTGTAAATGAAATATAAAGCCAATTGATAGTTTAAAATGTTGATTTTGTGCATGGAATGTAGAAAATGTTTAAACCGAAATGTAGAAACAAAAATCATTAATATTGTCACATTTGGTCTTCCATAAAAGTCTGGTGCAATTAGTTGGTTTAAACATATTTTATTACTATAGTATAATGTAAAAGGATAGGATAAAAATACAACAACATCCTTTATATCAGTTAAATTGATTACCTTTTCCAAAACAACTTGTGAAAATCTAAAAAAAAATCTCTTCCGGGCAGAAAGTGGATGTAATCGTTCAGAATATTATATTGACATTATTAGTGGAATAATTCCATGTCTTTGCAGGAGATACATTCATCATTCTAAACATTTGTTTTTTCTTGATATAACAGATGTGCTCTGTACTTTAAAAACTATAAAGTTCATGATAAGATCATTTTAATGACTTTTCCAGTGGATATAAAACATAAAGTCAGTGGAAATATCTTGAAATGAGAAATTGAGTGATGATAAAAAATGGCACATTTCGCATTGTCGGATAAAAACCTGGCACCATTCTTACTTTAGATTTCTCCAAATTCCTTTTTACTGTAATTGAATAGACTGATAAAGAGGGCAACACACCTTAAGATATTCACAACATTTTTGTTTTTCTGTGGAATAGTTCAATAGTGTCTAAGATATGTCAAAAATGCTCCTTGTGAGAAATAAAATGGCACCATAGTCTATATTATTACCTAACCATGCTAAAGATTCCATGCAGAGTTCTTGCATTAGCTTAAGTACTAATTATAGTGTTTTGTGATTGTTTGTTATTAATATTGAAATTTTTGTAAAGATCCATTTTCAGTCTTCCCCTAAACCGTATACTTAGAATTGACTTTTTATCTTTTCATAAAGGACAATACTCTTGATTTCTGACAAAACTAAATCCAAGAGAATCATTGTTTAGATTTAGAGCCTTGAAGGTTTCAAGAGGTTCATACTTTCAACCCAAGGATATACATTAAAGATGCATTAGTCTAATCAATTCAATATCTAACCCATCTGATGGTCTAAAAAGTTGCTTATGTGAATAAATGTGTAAATAATAATTTATATAACATTTTTATCTTTCCATAAATGACCATACTCTTGATTTCTGACAAAACTAAATCCAAGAGAATCATTGTTTGGATTTAGAGCATTGAATGTTTCAACCCTAGTATATTATATAGATGTATTAGTCTAATCAATTTCATATCTGAGCCATCTGATGGCCTAAAGAGTTGATTATGTGTGTGTCATGTGAATAAAGGTCTAAATGATAATGTATATAACATTTTAAGCTAGAAAAAAGACCTGCAATAGCGAGATATAGCTATTACATAATACATCTTTAAGGTTGTTCTAATATGATTAGCTGCTGCTAGAATGTCTCTTTAACTTTAATATATCACCTGTTTTCATTTTGAAATAAAATTAATCCTCTAATGTATTAAAGAAACCATTTTGATATGATATGGCAATAAAATTTCTGTTAACACTTTTGTTATCTATATCGTGTCAGACAGACAGGTAGTTGCGTTTTTAGTTGTATCTTTATATCATAAATCAAAATGGTTCACTCTCATATAATTAAAATTAAAAACTACTGGGTTACACCATTAAATTAAAAAGGATCAAACTTTATGGCAAGATAGATTTTATGAGATATTTTTTCTCATAAACCATTGGGTGTTGAAAGATCCTGAGGCAGTAGAAAAAGTATTAATATTATGAAAATTATGTAATTTCATTTTTTATTATGTTTTTCAGCCTATGAACTATGTTAAAGTTGAAGAAAAGTTACAAGTGCCTGATAATTTTCGTCGGTATGTGAAGCGAGAACGCTGTGATGTTTGTGAAACTCCCATAAGACAGTTAAAACAAGAAGCTGTTGCTATGATACAGTCCATCCAACAAGCCCAAAGTGCCTCATCTGTTCCTGCAAATATACCTGCTTTAGTTGGATCATATAATATAGGTGCACATCAACGTAATCATCAGCCCAACAGGTATTATTGAATTAATGGACTTGGTATGGTATGATTTTTGTGGAGACTAAAGGGAGATAACTCCAGCTATCTTATAAATAGAAATGTCTATGAACACTTTGATGGCCTATTGATTGTCATGTATTATTAATTTACATTAATTGATTAGATGATTATGTGTAATTAAATAAACTGATTTGTTTCATAAATATTTCACAGTTCTATCATGGATTCACATATTATGTTTTGTACAAATTTAATTAAAAGGGTGTTTCTGGGCTTACTGGATCATCAGTATTAAATTTCTATTCAATCATTTTTGATTACCAACTTGTTCTCAAACTTTAATGTTAAAACACTTTGTTTTGCTTTTGTACTACCGATATGCAAATTTTGTTATGCAATTATGCCCCCAATATGCAAATATATGCATGGTTAGCATAGCTTGATATAGGTAGTTCTGTTTAATGATCATATAAGAAAATAAACTGTTGTTCATAAAAAATCATGATCAAACAATAAATTATTTACATTTTTAAAAAAATAAATATCCAGGCTGCCTTGACAATTATCACCTCCATATTCATAAGAGGGAGATAACTGGTTGTTTACTCTGCTCTTTTCTTCATTATACAATTGTCAGTCGACAGTGAAGAAATATTAATATGGATCAATAACCCCAACAGCTACGGTTTTATTTCTTCTCTTAATTTGGACATTTTTTTCTCAGCTGTCTTCTCTGATGGAATGTGGTGACTGTCCACTTGATGACAGTGGAAATTTAATTTGGAAAAAATTTAAGGAATTATTTATTAATTGATGATGGTATTGTAATTGTTGGACAATTGTAATTACTTGATATTTTGTTATGATTTTGAATTTTAACGAATTTTATTATTTTCAGATATTTGTCACGGACATCAAAAAGTAGTCAGTTCAGTTCATGTCTGTCGTCTGGTATACCATTAGCAGCTCAAGCACAGGCTTATCTTGAACAAAATGCACAATCCTGGTTAAATCCTGTTAATCGACACAATCAGGTAGGATATTTATATATTTATTATAAAAAAATATATCTTGTTATAATAGGTAATTATTAGAGATCACTAAATGGATAAAAAGCGTAGATTTCAGGAACATGAAGTACATTACTGAACGGCACCTTTTGTGTATTGTTAGATTTGAAAGATTTGAAAATATACAATTAGTTATAAGTACTACAAATTTTTTTTAAACAAGGAATTTAAGATTGTTTGTATTTAGAAAGTTTTCTATTAGCTGAAGATATATTAACAGATTGACTTAATTGATTTAAACAATATTTATTCAAATAAGATAGATATTGTATACACATACATTGTCAAAAAGTAAGGATTCAAAAAATATTTTTTAATAAATATACTACAAATACAATTATAATATGTAAACTTCATATACAAGATACATTTTGCAGTACACTATTTTTTATTTACTCTCAATCGTGCATGTAAGTAATTTAAAAGTTTGTGTCACTTTCAGTACATTACTATTGACTTAATTGGTTTGGATTATTATGTTACTGAACTTTGATTTTTACAACTGTTGAAATATATGAAATCTCATGTATATATATACACACACACATACACATGTATGCAAAAGAAATTGATATGTTTACTTAAGTACGTAGTATGCATATAAATAGAAGATAAGTAAACACATTTACTTACATATAAATACATTGTATTTGATCAGTATCAAAATCCAAATATGTCACAATAAAGTCCCATGTAAACAGATAGCATGATAAACTTTAATATGAACTTCTTTATTATAACCACATACAAGGGCGTGGATTTGCGATAACTTGGGGGGGGGGGGGGGGCGGACGAACCATGGAACCTGGAAGATTTCATTACCAAACCCAAATAATAATTACCAACAGTTAACTGTACCAGTGCTATTCGATGAAAGTAGTAACTAGGGATAATATGATGACTATATGGAAAAATTCACTACCTACATCAAAGCTTGATATGGGTGGTGATTGGCTGATGAATTCTACATTCGGCAAAGTGGACACACTAGGCGAATTCGGGCGAATCATTCGGATATCCGAATGACAGTGGACACACTAGGCGAATTTCAACGCCGATTGATTCAAACGATTCGGCCGAATCATTCGGCTTATGTGTCCACCGCTTTAAGTGGATCGTCCAAAGACGTTTATTCTACGATTAGGACTGTTCTCAATGAATATCTTGGCGACATGCTTTGGGTCCAGATCATGAAGGAGGTCATTATGCACCCACCCCACACACCATCAAAGGTGACACTGCCGTTTTTGCATCAAGGAGTTGTGCAGCCAAGTTTTGATACAGCGCAGAGTGCTGAAGGATCGCTCATCTGAGTAGGAAATAGCAGGGTTTAGCAGTGTGAGACGGAGAAGAGCTTTGACAGAAGGGAACATCTGCCTCACTTCAGGTGACATACTGAGGAACGCTTTGTGCACAAGTGAAATAGACTTAGTCGAAAACTGGCGCTTGAAGAATGGAATCTTGTTCCAAGTCCTGATTCAATTCCGGATACGTAGAAACAAGCTCAACATCGTATTGTCCAGATACCAGCATTTCGTTAATTTACCGTAGCGGGACAAGTCAGTCGAGGTGAAATTAACGTCAAAATTATTCATGGTTGCATCTAGCTTTTTGAAATATTGACAAGGCAGTGGTTAGATAGCTTTCCGAATGGACATTCATGTGGATATAAACCTGAAAATCTGTCCTGCCAATAAAAATCATGGGGGGTGGGGGAGGGACAGAGACATATTGTTCCCCCCTTCCGATTCTAAGGGAGGGACTCCCCCCATCCCCCCCCCCCCCTAAATCGACGCTCATGAATACATACATGTACACGAAAATATAGATACCCACTATTACAATGTATACACACTTAGTATTTACGCTTTATTATAACCACATACATATTAAAATATATAAATCCTTATACAATATGTGCACTCTGTGTATTTATAAACTTTATTATAACCACATACACACTTTAGGCCTATTATACCTGCATACGCATTTAGTGTAAAAATATATATAAAGATACATATTAGTAAAATATACACCCTTTTTTTTTACACTTCATTTGTACAAGGCAACCTTGTCTTTGCATTAGTGGCATAGTGCTAAAAATGAATTGCAAAGAACCAAGGATGAGTAGTGTTAACCGAAATAACAGTGTGTTAATACTAAAAGATTGCAAACTTTTTTCAAGGTAGCTTACAGGGGTCTTAGGTAAGATAAGATAAAGAGCTGACACTTCTCGCTATAATAGTTAAAAAATAGATAATAAAGGTAGAATATGCTGAAAATTTCAGTCAAATTGCTTCACCCTGAACCGAGATATTAGTCAATTTTACGCCAGCATTGATTGTCATTACTAACGTTGGTATGATCGTAAACAAAATCTTGATTATCCATTTTTACATTAAATTATCCATCAAAAAAATATATTCAAATCGACTAAATATTGCAGGCTAATGATGGCATTGAGAACTGATATATAATATTGCAGGCTAATGATGGCATTGAGAACTGATATATAATTTGATTAATGTCTAAGAATGACCTGCAATAGACAGATTCAGCTCTTGCATAATGCATGTTTAAGGGAACATTTATGACCACTCAATAATGTACTCATGTGGTAATTCAGTTTTTAGTCCCATCCGAATGGCTAGACACACTCTCCACGTCAGCCATGTCAGCCCTGACAATCCTTAAGGTTCTGATGGCAGGAATCCTTTAAGTAACCATATTCACACCAGAGTCAATTTTGTTCTTTCACCTTATAATGAACAATTATATGTAGCTACATTTGCACCTAATTCATTGATTCAGTAATAAGAAAACCATACATGGGCTACAATTTCCCTTTAAGATTTAATATGGTAATACTAATCTTGAATTTGAAAACCACAGCAAGGGTACTATATGCTTAATCAGGTAAATGATACCTCTTCTTTTCATGGACCTTTTGACATTTTTATATTACAATTGACACCTTGTTAATTGTAATTTATATAGTCAATTATAATTGTATGGTGTAATAAGCTTAGGTATGTGTCGGGTGAACAGATGAATAAATTAATTACTTTATTTTAATTAAATACATGTAGGTACATTATTCTAGTATTTAAGATGGCATTGTTGCTGTACATAATAAGAGAGGTGTGACTTCATGTAGGACCTGATATATTAAAATTATTATCATGGGAGGTCTACCCCATACTGACCTCAACAAATCCAGCTTAATATGACTATTAATCCAGTTCCTTTCTTTTTTTACCTAAATGAAATTTTCATTCCGCTAAATGAAATATCAGTAGTAGCTTTGCATTATAATATCTCAATCTCATCACAGTATAAGTAGTGATAGATTTCATACCTGGAGAAGGAAGTGTTTAACACCTGATACCACTCTTCATTTATCACTAACAAGCTTATATACTTGACTAGGACTGCATATTTAGATAGTGACTTAAGACATATACTTTTTTCTCTCTCACTTATCAAACCTGTTGAAAGTTCCTTACCAGTACAAACTTGACATACATACTTATAGATGAAATGGTGGGTGGTAGGTAATAGTGAAGACGGTTAATTCATTAATCCTTTCTGGATTAAAAGCAGATTATCATAATGTGTATTATTTAAACATATACCTTCTAGATAACTATTTATGTTGATTTGTTATGTTACGGCTCATGTGAAGGAACATTGAGTGTAGATTATAAGTAATAAGTTGTATATATATCTACTAACGAAAGAGTTATTAAATGTGTGAAATGTTTACATAAGTAGATCAAGATTGTGTATATATTATTACTTATACTTTGTTGATCATTTACATATCATGACTTCATACATAAACTTGGATTAATCAAAATGGAATTATACAGAATTATCAAAAAGGTTAGATTTTAATTTTTGATTGTAGATATCAAACTAATGAACAGTGTTTATTGATGACAAAATTTTGATTTTGAAGTCTGGAGAAGTATGTTCCTTCAAATATTTTGGACTTTTCTTATAGTATATTTTAATTTAGGAATGATGGAACATTCATGCATGTATCACCTTCAGTGTTTGACTGTTCGATAGCTTAAGGCAAAATTTGTCCCTGTGTGAGGTTATCAACCATTTTCTTTTTTAATGTTTTCTACATTTTCTTGTATATGTGGCCGCAAGCAAGGGAGTGCGGTACAATTGCAGATGACTATGTATAATCCATAGAGTGCTTCATAGAGAAACTGCTCGTTTGGATTGAACGGCTTTTCACTCGCTTTTTGTTCATTGACCATTTGTAACCATTGCTGAGAAGTAATAGCCTTCGGGCAGCATGAACTGATGAATGAGATTTTACAGGCTTATACAATATACTGAAGTAGAAAATGGAGAGGGAGGGTCAGTCGTCTTTACCTTAAAGTAATTATTGATGCTTCTTAAAACCTGATTCAATGCGTAGCTGCTTTACTGTCTGCCATTATGGAATATGTCATAGAGGTTGTCTTTATCGAAGCTTCACATTATCTTAAACTTCTTTCTTAATGCAAAAATGGTGTGTTGCTCAAATCAAATCCTTGTTCATCCATGATGTAATTTAATAAATATGCGATAATGTAACACATTTGTCAAATTGTTTGCATAAAAGATGGAATAAAAAAAAAATCATTGCATTTTTACACCTCACATTTTAAAAATGTCATCACCCATGACCTGTCAATTAGGCTTTTATTTCCTTGTAGAAAATTTACATGTAGTTATAAAATAGTTGATGAAATATGTTTTTGAATGGCATGGCTCAACTGAATGATCATAAAGATGAACTATATCAAAAACCAGCATATCTCAACAATTGTTTATTGAGTTGAAAAAAATTTAAATGTGTTTGAAGAGACCAATGTTTTAAAACTAAGGAGTAAGGGAAAGGAAAATTTTATGCTCAAATTCAGGTTGTCCAAAATATTTAAAGTGAAAATATAATATGAAAG